AGTTCAAGAGACTTGACATTGGTCTCAATTTTGTTAGAAAGTATGCCTATATTTTATATAATATATTTTTAAAATAGAGAAGTTATCACCAAATATGACTAGAACTCAAGTATATTGTGTCCAATGTTGCCCATAACTACCCGTCATTGGGACCATGTTCTAAAGTTAAGTTTGAAAATCTGTTGAATCTTAAAATCTGCGATAGATGATTTAAATTTAAAACAGCTCCGAAACCTGGAAATACCGGGATGGTGTCCAGAGGGGGATAGTTTTGTTTTTTCCAGAGTAGTTAAGTGTTAAGTGTGTTAAGAAGCGTAGCTTAAGCTAGTAAGGCTGTCCTGGGTACGACACACTAAACTCCACCCAGTCGAGGCGTCGGCGACTAATCCGACAACCCCATTCAGATGTGTCTTAGTGGCTGCTGAGGGGAGGTGCCATGGTCACCCAGCAGCAAGAAAAACCAACAGCTGAACCAAGGCGGATGAGCTCTTTGGAGTCAACGGCCAACCATAACTTAGTTTAAGGAGTATAATTAGCCACATATTATTTTAATATTTATATTTTTAAACTTATTTTTCATTCAGTTAATTTGCATATGAATAGTGCATGCGACCATAATATGACAACGGCGGCGAAAGCGGGGGGCCAGGTGGGCCATTGGCCCACCCACTTTTTATACTGGGGGAGGGGGCCTGGCCCCCCCTCCCACTTTTGTGACTGTTCCCAGCACCAGTGACAAACATTTTACGAAGATGTATAGTTTAAAGTGTAACTGATTGGCTTATAGTAAACCTTCAAACCAGCGTAATATAACCACATTTAAACTCTAATTTAACGAAAACAATAAGATACTTAATTAGGCCATTTTTTTAAAATAAAGTTGTCTGAAGGTTAACTACAGAATTTACAGTACACTGTAGTTAATGTGTTATAGGTTGTAAAACTGTATAGAGTAAAAAAAATGTATCCAGCTTTTAATCTGAGAGTGCCATTTCCGGCCATCTAGAGGTGCCATAATCATAATAACAACAGTTGTGGGGCTGAGGCGGGTGGACATTCTATTTACGCAAGACTCTCCCTGGAACCCCTCTATTTCGACTTTGTTGACCCGCCACAGTTGGAGTATCATTTCCGAGCTTAGCTTATAGAAGTGTAATTTTTATCCATCGGGGGAAAAGGAGGCTAAATTGTTCAATTTTTTTTGATGGAGATTTTAAGGAAAATTATATTCAAATTTTAAGTCTAAGAGTGTAATTTCCAGCCATCTAGAGGTGCCATAATCACAAATTTTCTTGTCTCAGCCCCAACCATGGTGGGGCTGATGTGGTATAGATTCTCCATCTGCTGAAGTACCCAGTGGCGGATTCAAGGGGACCCAGACGGCCCGCCCCCGCCCTCCTAAATTGTTCAATAAAAAAATGGAGATATAATGATAATTATATTCAAATTTTATGTCTGGAAGTGCAATTTCCGGCCATCTAGAGGTGCCATAATCACAAATGTTCTTACCTCAGCCCCAACCATGGTGGAGCTGAGATAGTACAGATCTTCTATCTGTCAAAGTACCCTCCCTGGGCCCTTCTATTTCGAATTCCTGGATCCGCCACTGGAAATTACAACAAATATGAAAATCATATTACAGTAGCTTGATGCCTATAAAATAACTTATAAAATTCACCAAACTTCGTAAAATATCCGTAGCTTCCAGGAGGCTTCGCCCCCTGGACCCCCACCGGGGGGCCTTGGCGTTCCCCAGCCTGGATGCTCTTTTCGCTCGCATACTCGACCTTATTAAGTGGCCCCCCCCCACTTTCAAAAACGTTCCGCGCCGTTGAATATGATTATAGGTATCCATCTCTTCTATTAATATATTGAAAGGAAACATTTATTTAAATAATTTAAGACCTAAATCAAGATTCTATGGAAATTGGTCACAGATGTATGAAAAATTCGGTGAATATATAATGTTAAAGGTCAATTGTATCCTTTCCGATCATTTTGGTGACAGATGTTCTATTAGAGCCAATAGAAACATACATATTCCGTACAATTTGAAAAAGAAAGCAACTCTCTGTGATCAGCCATCATTAAGATATAATAGGAACCCCATATTTTCAATCCTAATTTGCATATTTAAGAGCTAATTTGCATATGAACATTGTATGTGACCATGTTGTGATTATATATTTCTATCCCTTCTGTTAATTTCTTAAAAAGAAACATGTATTTACATAATTTAAGACTTAAATAAAGATTCTACGGAAAATAATCACAGCGGTGCAAAGTGGTGATTATAAGGTCAGAGGTCAATTTTACCATTTCCGGTCATTTTTTGGCAAACGTTCCATTAGTGCAAATAGAAACATGCACATTCTGTGCAATCTGAAGAAGAAAGCAACTCTGTGTGACTAACCATTGCCGAGATATGGGAACCCTATATTTTCATTTTTAATTTGCATATTTACGAGCTAATTTGCATATCTACAGTATATGTGACCACGGTGTGATTGTAGATTTTCATCCCTTTGATTAATATATTGGAAAGAATCATGTATTTGAATAATTAAGACCTGAATAAAGATTTTAAGTACATTAGTCTTAGAGATATGCAAATCAGTAAATATAAGGTCAGAGGTCAATTGTAGCATTTCTGTTCATTTTTTGGGCAAATGTTCCATTAGAGCAAATAGAAACATGCATATTTGAAATCATTTGAAAAAGAAAGCAACTCACTGCGACAAACGGTTGCCGAGATATAAGACCCCTATATTTTCAACCTAATTTTCATATTTTAGCTAATTTGCCTATGTTCCCGACGTGTGACTGAGGTGTGATTTGTGGAATTTCATCCCCTCATCATATATGCTTGATTAAAAAAGAAAAACCTTTGTTTGCATTTTCTTTGACTTTTGGCTATTTTTTAGCTAGACTGCCTAGCCTAATGTTTGTGGTTACACTTTACATTGTTGTGAGACTGGGAAACGAATGATAATTTTATTTATTTTATGTCGAATGATAAGATAACCGCTTGATGTGCGATATAATTACCGTGGTTCTCTGGCATTCGGTCCTTTTGTTATGCTTTGTTGGTGAAGGTAACCAATGCCATCATTATGTAAGTACTTCCTTTTTTATTATTTGTTATTTATATTTCAATAATATTTAGTGAGGGAGTGATCCAGCGAAGGCAACAAGGACCGCCCCCCTCCCCGTCAGTCCCGCCGAAAAATAAAAAAAGAGGGAGAAGAGAGACAGAAATGTGTATATGAGTTCAGTGAGCGAAAGGGGTGCACGAATCTTTTTACCACTGATTTGAAATCTTCGACAAACATAATGCTATAACTCCGACGCAAAAAAGGTACAAATGGGAGCGTGTGGCGCAGCGGCTAAGCTGTTGGAAGTCTGATATCGGAAGTTCGAGACCGACGCTCGTCCTTGGGAAAGACAATTTACTTACGCTTTCCTCTCTTTACCCAGGAGTATAGATGGATGAGGGCAGGCCCGTATCCAGGGAGTGGGGGGGGGGGTTATGGTTCAGGAGAACCCCCTTTTCTAGCAAACCCCCTCTTCAAATTTCCCAAATAAGTCCTCCAACCCAACTAATGCACTGCAGACCCATCCAGACAAAGACCTTTTCAAACATATCTGCTTTTATAGCATTATTTAGACCCATAAAGCACAAAAATCCCCTTGCTTTGGGGGTTTCGCAGACCACACCGTGGCTTCGACCGTGGACCTCACGCCCAGAAAACCCCCCTTTGGAAGAACCTGGGTACGGGCCTGGAGGGGGTAATGCTGTTAGTCTGTTCGTCAGTGAACCTGATACTACTGTTCCAGTCAATTTGTAACAGCAACTAGAATCAATTATACGCGATTATTCGCTAAAAGGAAGCTACATTAAAAAGAAACTGTGTAGCTCCTGTGATTCATAGGAACGAACGTGTCCTGCTTTTTTCCCCCCTTTTTTTTTACTTATTTAAGTGGAGTATTTTAAATATTTTAAACATTTTTGATATTTTGCAATATTATTACACTAAATTTTTACAATAAAGTTATTTTAATCTCTAATCTTGAATGGTTTACGAGCTTGCAAAAGAACATATTTTTATTAAAGAGTTATTTGGTTATTTTTTTTTTGTTGTTGATAGAAATGGTCATTTATTTAACAATCAAATATAAATCTAGGCCTATCTTCTTTACAATAATTCATTGTTAGCATTATAAAAACTTGCTCTACTTACATTTTAAAATAATATAAGTTACATTTTCTATTTTATTATAAATATTTCTAAGCAACAATTTATTATTTCTGATAGTTGATTCCAACTATTTTATTAAAATGTTGTATATTTTTATATCATTGTTAGAGTAACTTGTAGGTTTATACTAAAATATATTAGACAATATAACGACAATTGTTAGGCAAAAAAAAAATACGATTTTAAAAATTTAAAGAGATAATTTTCTTAGATTTTTCAAAATACAATTTTTTTAAATTTTCTTCACATTGATAGAAAATGGTCTTTTTAATTATATTTTAATCCAAATATTTTAAACAAATACTGATTGGCGGGACCATTGTTAGAAATATAGCCCAAAATGCATGAGACCATACTGGTTCTGCATTTACACTTTGGTATTTTTTTTTCTAATCGTCTAATTGTTATCAGTTACCTTTCTTTTAGACTGTACTTTGGCCTACTAACGAATTATTTATCTTTAGGCCTGATGCAAATATACATGCACCTGCGTCATAGGTTGTCATTGTTCCATATGCTGAATCATATTTTTACCATCTTTTCACATCATTATGATGTGTCGATGGATCTTGAACTGAAAGCACCTAAAATAATCTATGTTAAACCTGTAGCCAAAACATTAACATATATATATAAATTTTAAAAGGCAAATAGGAAAAACCCATAAAACAGCAAACGGCCACATAATGCAAAACTATTTAAAATTAAAACGGAACAGTAGAGAAAGTCCGATCAGAGTGACAAAATAAACTAAGCATCCACTAATCCCAATATCTGCAGACGGATCCGTTACGGCTGAGCCCTAAGCTCGCTACTTCCAAGGCTAGGGTAAGCATTAGGTCAAATTCGTTGAGATATAATAATAATATTTCTTTTTTGTGATTTTTTAAAATGTTCTTTTAATTGCTAAATTCAAATTAATTACAACACTGTATTTTTGTAAAACGTTAGGCATATGCGTTATCTAGCTTAGACGTACTTGCAAAATAACTTGTTATCAACATGGTCTAACACACAACTAAAAATGAAATTGCATACGTAAAGAGAATACATATTATATATACCGTTCTTAGTCTCTCATTCATAACCACAGATGTATTCAATAAATATCATTGCGTTAAATCCAATTTTACTTGAGTGTTTTTGCCGCAGCCTAATTAAAGATAGGCTTGTGATATTTGCTGCCTACATAAATGGTTTACCTAATAATAATTGTACCTAATGAACTGGTTTTATGAAAACACCACAGGAAGAAAAACGCTTGCAATGCATTGCATGATATTGTCACTTAAGTACGACGAAAAGTGAAAATTAAAATAAGAAGAATATGCCATGGACTTCGACTATGATTAACTTAACTAAAATGCAGATCCTACAACAAATTATGCAATTATTTTGACCAGTTGTAACTAAAATAGCCACTGCAAGGCTATAATCGGCACTCCACTATATAAAAACTTTAGAACATAAAGTTAAACATTACACAGAATATAATATGATAATCCTGTATGTGAAGACTGTGTGCAAAGCTATAATAGAAGAGATATCACCCCTCTGGATCGAAACTTACACTTCTTCTTAATACTAAGTATATTTAAACGAAAATTTAAAGAAAATAAAAATAAAATGAAATAAACTTCATAAGTATAATAAATGAAATGCAGAAAAGGTTATTGTTCTTTGCAAGTGGAAATGGCGAGCAGCTCTCTTTGAAATGGATACGTGCGCCTTATTATTACTATTACTATTATCCGTTGTATAACCTAGTAAACGTTATTATTTGCTGGTAATATAAATAAACACTCTAATCACCAGTACTAAAAGTAATTTAAAACTAGCCATTGTTTAGAAGTTCAGAATTTGTTTGACGTTTACCATAATATATTAACAAACAAAGAGTCAGTTGCCACCTCCGCAAGTTTTGACCAATCGCATAGTAGAAAAGTAAGTACATGAAAGTTATGAACAGCAGTTAATTTGTAAACCGCTGTGAGTTCGTCGGCTTCTATGTAACTTACGGCCAAGCACATGCCAAGAAACTCATTGCAGTAAGGTATTAATCGAACTGCACTTAAAGAACCAAATACTCCGTAGTCTTTCCAGGTGATGAGCCTGTTAGTAATCAGTACATTGTAAAAGCGAAAATTTGAATTTTATGAATTTATAATTTAGTCATATCGTAATAATATAGAAACATTCAGTTTTATACTAGTATTTCACGTTTGTTATCTCATGTTTTATCCCTTTTCAATCATTCTTACTTCAAGTATATGATTTTATATATAGGCCTAGTTATATACATACACGTACTGATTGGTTTGAGAGAAATTGTTAAACATTCAGCCTCAAGATGACCAATAGTAATTTACTAACGGCTTTTTGGCCATTAGGCCTATCTAGAATTCATCACTTACAAGTTACACTACTTTACTAACGACTCTTTGGTCATCATTGAGAATACGAAATTATGGAATCTCCGCTACTGACTACGTGGTGCATAATAACAAACTAAATTCAAAATTCTTCAATGTCTATCTGATAAAGGAAAATTTTGAGGAAATGTCATCATATTTGGCTTTCTAGCTTATTTAAAGTCAGAGATAGCACAGTTTTTCGGATTTTCCAGACGGCTGACACCAGCCCTCTTGGATTTATAGGTCACGAAGATATTTCATGCTACAGCCTACAATAACCATTCCAGTGTTACACTGGAATGGTTAGATTTAAAACTGTTTTTTTTAAATCGTATTTTGTTGATTGTGACCTTGACCTTTAACCCTTACCCATCAATAGTCAAATACTTTGAGATCTTTGGTCATGGAACATTGTGACCAAGTTTGACAAGTTTGTGATTAAAACTGCGCTGTAGACAAATAAATAAATAAAAAATTTCGTTTGATTGTGACCTTAACTTTGACCCTGACCCTTCAAAATTTAATCAGCTCTAGATCTAAGGTAAAAGAACATTGTGGCCAAGTTTTATAAATTTTTGATAAAAACTATGGGCTGTAGGCTGTTCACAACAAATATACAAATAAATAAACGGGGGAAGAAAACATAACCTCCTGCCAACTTCGTTTGCGGAGATAATGAGATCTTTGATTATTCTTAGGCCCTAGTTAATTTTTTTTTTCTTATTTTAATTTATTTCTTTCGAAAGTGTACTTTCTATCACATATAATTGCACTGCCACTTAGGCCTAGGCCTAGTCATATTATGCTTCATCGTCCCCCGCTATACACAGTACATCAGTAGGCTAGCCCCCACCCCCACGCTACAGTACAGAGGTTTGCTAGGCAACAGAACGTGATTGCACCTTTCTTCCCAGGTGTTCATGTAAATTTGCATATTGTTAGCTAACCAGCTGCGTGTATTCCTTTGTGAAAATGAGTACCGTGACCATTTCCGGTCACACAATACTCTCCATAACGCAGCGCACCCCTCTAGTTCCGTGTCCTCTGGATCTTAGGTAAAGCAACATTGTGGCAAAGTTTGATGAATTTATGATAAATACTATGGGATGTAGGCTGTTTACACCAAATATGCCGACAGACAAATAAATAACTAAATAAAAAAAACAGGCACATAATCTCCTGCCAACTTCATTGGCGGAGGTAATAATAATAGGCCTATTGACTAGTAAAGAAACCAAGTCAAAAAAATAATTACCCATCTTTCCATCTTTATTTTCGTAGATTTTAATACTTTCGATCGGAAGATCAAATTTTGCAAATAAATTGATTTTTCCTTTTTTTTTTTCTTACTTAGCTTCACATCCGCCTTGAGGTCTCCTATTGAGAGTCGCCATATTTTTCACCATTTTGTATTCTTTAAAATGATATATTGTATAACACCGATATGTCTTTTGTTTTGTTTAAAATAAATACATAGGCTATATATATTCATATATTATAAACCACATTGTAATTGAACCCATATTTAATATCGATTAAAGTCATCGTGCTAGAGATGCTCACTGTGTGAACGAAAATTAGCACTTCAAAATTTAGTATTGAGGTTTTCAATTATAATTCGTATTTTAAAACTACTGCACTATCATTTATTTAAATACAAGGGTTTGTATTACTTATTATGATATTAAATGAATAATTTCTTTCCCAGATTTCACGTGTATTCCAACAAAGAGACAAGAATACCATTTGTCATGGAACTGCAGTCCAGTGTCATACTATTATGACTAGGCCTACTTGTATCTCTAAATTTCCACTCATCGGAGGCAGTGAGATTTCTGTTCCAGCCAACGCCCCAAGCAGCAGTAGAGGGAAAACGAGCACATGTTACCTGTATTTTCGGAGATATCACCGATGACATGGAAGGAAAATACAATATCATCTGGACCAAAGATTCTTACATCATAACCAACCTAAGTAATGGATTTGATCTGGATCGCTTTGGTTTTCATAATATCTATGCCAAGAGGAAACACTTCCTGAGGATTGATCCTGTCAAGAGAGAGGATGGTGGAAGGTACAGATGTCATTTACGCTATAATGGTGAAATATTATTAACATCTAGCATCGGTATGCTCACCATTCGCGAAATCCCATCAATTACATACCCACTCGTTGAAATCGGAAGGTCAACCTACAAGATTGGTGAGGAGGTCACGGTAAAAAGTGTTTGTGAAAAGACCAATCCAACAGCAAAGCTAGAATGGGGATTATCAGAGCAGAAGCGTTTTTTAGAACCAACTACCAAGTCCGGAGAAAATCATACACATATTTGGATTGAAGCAAGAGTTCCTGCAACCCCTGACCTAGATGGTGTTTGCTTTGAATGTAAAATGAAAGTAGAAGATGAAGTTGCCCCAAGATACTCACAAAGTGGACGCCTTTCTATTATTGATGGTCAAATTACAACTAACAAACCACTCCAGCAGACACGTACGAAAAATCTGACAGATTTGTCATCTGATATGTTAGGTGGCATAAAAGCAGAAAGTTATGAAACTACTGCTAATGGTGGTACACAGCTAGGAATAGAAATGGCTGTCACACAAATTGTAGTAGTTTCATTAATACTTAATGCTATGGCAACTTGATAAGCGTACTGAGGCGTGTGTTAAATTAAAGGGAGTTATATTTAGGTTACAGTAAACAAATCAGTAAACGATATATCTACGTCAAATTAAAAATTTATTATAATTAAATTAAATTAAAAATTAAGTTAAATCATGTAATAGTGAAATTAGTTAACAATTAAATTAAATCAAATCAAAATTAAGTTAAAATTAAAGATTAAAGATTAAAATTAAAAATAATTAAAAATTAAAATTAATATTAAAAAATTATATTAAAAAATTCATCAAAAGTAAATAATATGTTAAAATAAAATAGTTAATGTCATTAAAGTACATACTACGGTTTCCAGTGTTTTATGTAGGCCTATATGCAATCAATGCGTACCGGTATAACACGAACTATTTTCAACCGACCCCAGTTAAAAGAATACACCTTGATCAAGTTTCCTTCACATCTATCTACCTTACATTCCAATGCACAAAAGCAGAACAGAATAGGTGTTTAGTTTTACAATTATTTTTGATAGGCCTAATGATGATGATGAAAATTATGATATTTATGATGGTTAAGATGATAGAGATAAGGATGATTGTGTCGGCGGTGTTAGTGATTATGTTTTAATGATGGTAAAGCTGGATGATGATGAAGATATGATGATCAAAGCCATAGCCGCCCTCCTTTATGGAGTTCAGGGATTTGGGGTCAATGGTCATTAAGGATCATTCTTTCCTGATTTTAATCAAAATTGGTTAGCCTAGGTTCCAGGCCCTAATTTTGGGTTACTCACTTTTTTGCGCGCCATACCTAATATATTTGGCGTCCTATACTCGATATCTTTTTTCTGTCTCAAAATTAACGTGAGATATATTAATTACCTAAACTAAAAGTATTGTCGTAAGACGAGTCAACATCAAATTAATCTAATAAATGTAGGCCTATTTTCCAAGGAATTCATGACAACATACCCAATTTTCTTCCGTTTTTATACGTTAACAAACCTCTAGGCCTAATCGCAATGCCTACAGCCGGCAGGCTGAACTTCATCTAGAAGTCATTTGATATTATTTCTTACGAATACAAGTACATGTATAGTAAAAATACAAACCCAGGTAGCAAAGTTTGTGGGGCCCTTATGTGATATGGGCCATGTGGGCAGGCCCATATCACACATAACCCTTATGGGGCCTGTATTGGCTACACCATATGGAATGGGTCCCGTAAGGGTGATATATCGAGAATAAATATGGGTAGCATGTGGGTCAGGGCATTTGGCACCCATGAGGGAAAGAAAAGGGCAGTCCCTAGTAAATTTGTGTGTTTGGGGCCCACAAGGGGAAAATATGGGCATACACGTTTGGGAAAGTTTATGGGTCAGCCCATGTGGGAAAAGTATGGGCAGTCACCAGTGGGTACTATGTGGGCAAACACATTTGGGAACGTTATTTAAAAAGTGCGGGCATGCCCATATGGTTAAGCACATTTGGGGCCCACAAAAGAAAAAACTGGGCAGACCCATAAGGGCTATTTCTGGGACAGCCCATGTGAATGAAGGATGGGCAATCACATGTTGGCACTATAAGGGCCAAAACATTCGGGATACATATTTTCAAAATTTGGGAAGGCCCAAATGGTTTAGCATGTTTGGGGCCCTTGAGGGTAATCAATGGGAAAATTCATAAGGGTTCTTCGTGGGTCAGACTTTGTGGGCAGATTATGGGAAATTATATATGGGATAAATATGGGCATGTGGGAAATATATTTTTTAAATATGGGCAATCCTATTTGGGGCCCACAAGAGAATGGATGAACCCATTTGGGCTATTCATGGGTCAGCCCATGTGGGCAAATAAGGGGTTATAATATATGGGCGATATCAGGGCCAAAACATTTGGGATATATATGGCCCTTGATGGCAAGAAATGGAAACATTCATAAGGGTTCTTTGTGGGTCAACATGCATGGAAATATGTGGGAAATATATATTTTTTTAAATATGGGCGTATTCTCATAGGCTAGAATTAATCCCATCTGAGGCCCACAAGAGAAAAAAAATGAATGAGCCATATGGGTTATTTCTGTGTCCAGTGGCGTATCAAGTTTTGAAATGGGGGTGCTGATAAGGGGCTCGAAGGTGAAGTGAAGGGCTTGATGATCAGTTGAGGGGCGCTAACTCGCAAAGGTGATTTTAGATGATTTTTAACTACTTTACTGTAATTTTTATGGGAGAAACCAGGGAGCCCCTGCTGGGTACCATAAGGCATAAAACATTTTGGAATATATTTTTAAAATATCGGCAGTCCAGATGTTTTTGCACCTTGGGGCCCATGAGGCTGAAGGAGAGAAAGGAAATACCTGTAGTGTAAAGTAAAGGACTATAAATAGGGCATCATTTGGTCACTCAATTATAAGCACAAATTCTTTTACTTAATCATTTTCTTGAAAAAGTAATTCAATGCCAAGCACTTCAAAAACAGGACACAGTTCACCAACATATGCTGTGCATGCATAGGTGTACAATCTTCAGCCATGGTCCAAGGCTACTCAGCTCGAATTACTGAAATCGGATTGGGCTAGGTCACTTCAAGACCAAGAATGCTGGTGTTTGAATTTTTATCAGTTAATTGGTACAGTTGCAGCTCTTGATGATAGGCGGTTTAAACATGTAGACTTGGAAGTATTTCAGCAGTATCAAGGGGTAAGAGTTTTGTTTTAATTATTGATTCAGTTAATGTAGTTTACTATACTATCGCAAACTTAACTTGGATTTTCATATCCCTATATCTTCGGAAGTTCAACGCCTGTAACCTACAGATTTGTGGTGTAGAACAACTTTTACTGCTGATTCCAAATCTGCAATCAGAAAACAAAAATAGTATTTTGCATATTTAAATGACAGAATTTTCCCCTGCCCCTGATTTTTTTAAAATTTTGACCTGTATAGTGTGAGTTTTCAATCACTTTTTTTCGAAATGCCAAGGAATATGAAATGCATTTTCGAAATGTAAAGGACCGTGAAATGCATATTTCTCTCAGCTCTGTTTTAAAAGAATTTTTTTTGTATCTTTCAGCAACTGTGGAACTCCAAAAACACTTAATGCCAACAAGCCATTGTAATTCAATATTTCGAACTTGATTTGTTCAATTGCAGAATTCATACTATCTTAAATTTTAGTAAAATTCTTCATTTACCTTGTCATCGGAGAAGAAAATGCATGGTTATGGAGAGATGCTGCTTCAATACACAAAGAATGTTGGTTTATATGCACGCCTGACGCTAACGATTCTTGAATATGGTACTATATTATAAACTCTAGTGATGCTTTTAATATAATAGCCTTATAATTATCGACAAAAATGCTGATATAAACAGGACTGTATTAAGCGTAACAGTAAAGGCTTAAGCCAAATGATATGTGAAGGGGTATGCAAGTCCCTACCCCATGAAGCACAGCTGATGTTTTTAATCAAAGAAATTATGGTTTGTATATCTTAAACTCAGTGTATTTTGTAGGTCTACAGGAGTCAATATAAGTCATTGTTATTTTACAAGAAGGAGCTGGGACCAATTGACGACCAGATAGAACTGGGACCAGCAGCTGAAGACAAGTTCGATCTGGGACCAGCTGAAGACCATTTAGAACTTGGACCAGTTGAATAGTTGTGAAAAACACAATACAGTACCCAACAAATGTTATTGCCACCCCCCCCCCCCCTTTCAATTCCTATTCAGCCCTGAAAAAAAACCAGATATGGGCCCGTAAATTATTTTGGACAAAACCCACATTGGTCCCAAATAAAACCATAATGCAAACCTAAGGGGCCCAAATATATCCTTTAACGGGCCCATGAACTTTATGGGACCCTTATGGATTTTCGGTGCACAGGCAGCTCACTCCCGTATGGGCCAATTTATAGTGGCCCCTTACATTTCAATCCTCAAAAAACCCAGATATAGCCCATAAAGACCCCATGAATTAATTTGGTAAAACCCATCTGGGTCCCAAATGAAACCATAATGGAAACCTAAGGGGCATTATGAAGGGCCCATAAATTAATTTGGGCCAACTTTATGGGACCCATATGGATTTAAGATGCACAGGCAGCTCTTTCCCATATGGGCCAATTTATAGGGTCCCCTTACATTTCAACCCCGATTCAACCCCTTAAAAACCCAGATAGAGTCCAAAATGGCCCCATGAATTAACTTGGAAAAACCCATATGGGTCCCAAATGAAACCACAATTCAAACCTTATAGGACCCAAATATATCCTTTAAAGGGCCCACATTGCATTTGGTCCAAACTTTATGGAACCCTTAATGATTTAGGGTGCACAGGCAGCTTGATCCCATATAGGTCAAACTGCAGGGGCCTACATTTTGGCCCATGTATTTCCCATATGGGACCCATGTTTGCTTGCTACCTGGGAAGGCATCTTCTAGAATCGTCCTTGCCCTTTGCACTACAATGGCCGGTCGCCAGGGACGTAGCCAGGATTTTCAAAGATGAGGGTGGGGGGAGGGCGAGCCGTCTTGCAAGGTACGTAGTACCAAGCGGTACGTAGTACCTCGCAAAACGTAGGCCTACGTGAGGAATGTAATTACTCCGAAAACGGAGTGTCTGCGCCTGCTGCCAAAACTCCGATTGCGGAGGTTTTTCGTATTATATGCAAAACCTCGAAATTCGGAGTTCTATTCAAACCTCCGATTTCGGAGTTTCTGCGTACTACACGCGAGAACTCTCTATATATATAGAGAGAGCAAAACTTTTAATCAACCCTCCGATTTCTGAGGTTTTGCATACTATACGCAAAACCTCCAAAATCGGAGTTTTCAAACTTTTATTCAAACCTCCGATTTTGGAGTTTCTGCGTGCTACACGCGCAATCTCCAAAATCGGAGTTTTCAAACTTTTATTCAAACCTCCGATTTTGCAATTTCTGCATAGTCCTACTATATGCAAAAACTTCAATATCGGAGTTTTTAAACTTTTATTCAAACATCCGATTTTGGATTTTTTGCCTATTATATGCAAAACCTCCGAAATC